TGTCATTTCTTCAGTGTTGTCCCATGAAAAAAAAAATATATATATATATAAAATATAATGAAATATTTGCGGAAAATGTGAGGGGTGTACTCACTTTTGTGAGATACTGTAATATATAACAAAGGAATTCCAAATTTTAACACACTGTTATAGCTGAAATTCTCTTTCAGAAAGTGGATATCCAGATGTCTGGCTGTACAGAAGTCTTGTTACCTTGAAAAAATCTAACACTATTGGACTCTCCGACTCCCTTTTCAATCATGTATGAATAGATGTTCTGAAATAACACCTCTGGGCAGTGGATAGGGTCTTAGTCAGTAATACATGTAGATACACTATTCTATCTAAATACATACAGTATATAATGAACAAAAAGGCTTATGTATCACATGGTATGGGTTTGTTCACTGCTTATTACTGCTAAACAGTGAGTGTACTGCCTAGTACTGCAGTTGTTTTCCTAACGTTTGAGGATAAATGGATGACTAACTTAATTAACAGCCACACAGAAGAGCTAAAACATATTGTAGCCAATGCCCTTTGAGGATTTCACTCCATCATTTTAACTGCTTACTGTGTCAAGAGACATGGACAAGTTACTAGACAGCACAAGGTGGAAGCTAGATTGTTTTGTTTTTAATGCCCACTAAAACAAATAGTAATTCAGACGCCTAAAAATAATTCTTACCTTTTACAAAGTGTTATTATGACTGCTAAAAGAATAAGGCAAGTCCTTTAGAAAGCAAAAAATGTCTTTTACTGGAGGGCATAAGCCAACATCTGGCTACCGAATGAGGTCATGGTCACTTTGCATTATCTCTTACACGCGGTTACTGGGGCCTGTTACTATAGATCTACCATCAGCAATTCCCTGATTGACAAAATACAAGCTCAGTTTAACCACAAGTGAATCCGAAACAAATGTGTATCATTACAAAGATAATATTTGTTGTAAAGCTGCAAAGCCTCTGTTATTGTTAGCTTTCCATTTATGATATCAAAAACAATGTGAATACTTCTGCCTCTTCACTTTCGCCCTCGTCCTCTTCATCTCCCTCTTCCCCTGCTCTTGCTCATTGGCATGCATGATGAGCATCCACTGGGAGCAACACATCACCATTATTCATGGAAAGAGTACACCTCAGAGCCAGACTGACAGATCAAAAGATGTTGATGATAGGCGGGGGTAGTGGTGGTTGGGGTGATAAATGGCCCCATCTTTTGGAGATGGCTATACTGCTATAAGTCCGGGGACAGAGCTTTTTTCAATTTTTTTAAGCGGTTGTTTGTTTTGGAGCCCAGTTGTTCAAACCCACACTCATACAGTACAGGCTATTTGCAGATATGATAGCCTACATAGAGTATACACAAAGCAGTACTCCTAAAGATTGATTAAGGAGATACTATATTGATATATTGATACTATATACTATATATACTATCTCACTTAAACTGAGATAATACTTCATGAGCCATATCAAATTAGGCAGCTTCTATTAATAAAGGGCTACATACACGTACATGTAGTTGAATACCTCTTTTAGATATGTTTTGACCTTTTTTGTGTATGTTACACAATAGGGAATAATATTCTCTACTCATTAGGGCACTCACAAGGGAGAGTGCAGAATTCCACCAAGGCCAATATCCTTCTCTGATATGCAAAGCTGCAAGCGCAACCACTATATATGTCAGTATTACAAAATACAACCTATCTAACAATTTAACAAAAGTGAGAAATAACTTGTGTATGTGCCTTATGATTCAGATGTTAATCAGGCCAGTAGTTATTTCCATAATCCTGACAAACAACACCTCCTTAGAAATTCTAGATATATCTAGAAAGAGGTATTTTCTTTTCCTCTCTTGTAATTTTCTATTCTGAGAAAAGGGACGCAACTTCTTCTCTCTACTATCCCCTCTTTTCCCACAGCCAGTTGTTTTGGAGTCATTCATCAGGAAGAGTGAGACTGAGCCATCAGGGGAAGTGTTGGCAGGATCCCTGTAGAGATGAAGCAATATTGAATTGATGGAATCATTTAAAAGCCAGAAAAAAATGGAATAGAAGAAATAACAATGTGCTGCTTTCTTACAGTGTCTAAATGGGACAGCCTAGTGGCTTATGGTGCATATCATACTCTAATCTCTTATCTTTCCCAAAAAAATAAAGCAAGCTATTTTTGGGTGTTTGCCTTCATGCATTTCTGTGTGTATTTCTTTTTTTCTATATCTTGTGTTTTCACCTAAAGCCTCTTGATGTGCCTGCCATTTTCACTTTATATCTCTTTTTCATAGCCATTGACCCAAACACGGAGTCAGTAGAGGATTTGATGCAGAGGTTCCAGGACAGTTTCCGTGTTCCCAACACGGCGACAGACATGTCTCACTACCAGCATGTCATGCACAGCTCATCGACAGGCCGCCGGAGGGTCCCTAGCCACACCAGAGGTAGGACAAAATGTCATTCAAAAAGTTTACAGTTTTGTTGGCAAAATGTCTCAGACCTTGCACACAAGATGATTTATAATATTTGCATGTTCTCTTTAATTTCACTATGCATACAGGACAGTGTTTGCTGACTTTTGGTACTAATTTTATGGTTCTCAGCAGGGATATTTGCCCTCAGAAGTGCCCTTTAACAGGCGCATACATTCATGGGGCAGGGTACAATAAGCATAAGGTCACGTATTTGATCTGTTTTTTTACTTTGCTTTAGGAGATGTTTAAATTTAGATGTGCATTTCCTTTTCACCCACTCTCAGCCATTAACCAATATGTTTATTTGGAAGCCTATTAGAATGTCACAGTGTGTATGCTAAAAGTCTTTTAAAAAAAACATTTTTTTACATTAATATTAAATCTGCCATGTAATGACAGTTGTTAAAAACAATTGGCCAGATCCCCCCAGAAAAAAATAGAAAATACATTTTACTTGAATAATATATAGTAGCTAATATATGACGAATATACGAATATTATCTAAAGAACAGAGCTGTAGATTAAACTGTCCAGGTGGTACAATTCAATTAGATACCTTCATTTCAGGACATATTTATATGTTCCATTTCGCTTGACCTACACAATGTTTTTAAAGATGGAGGAAACATATGCAAACACAGCAAAAAAAACTCCACACAAAGATTTGAATCTATGACTTCTAGATAACTGGAGCATTGCCAAACTGCTTTGAAGACAATGTTTCACAGTTCATTTCACAATTAATTTCCTTCAAGTATTTCTGCCTTAACATTCCAAATCCCATTTAATATCTGTGAAAGTAGATTTTTTTTCCCCGTCTTACATCATGAAACTGATGTAGACACCAGATACAGTGCATGGGTATGACGCATGAGGAAAACCATAGAATGCAGCCATCCAAAGCTTCCCATCTGACCCGCAGAATGGCCACTAATGAAATTATTGAAATATTTATATGATTGCAGTATTAAAAACTGGGTGTCTGTGGCAAGATTCCAGGAAAATGCTGTATTAAGTTACTGCTAATGCAAACCTAACATTTCCTACTGCTGTTTCAAGCATTTAACTGGCAAAACACGAGTTGACTTTTATGATGAAGTAGTCGCAAAAAATACATCAAAATCATCAAAAATCCGTCTACAAAACAAAATGGTAATTTTCAGCATTTTTTGACAGCGGATCAATTTAAATTATTGCAGGGAGTATTTAAACAATAAGGTGCAGCCACAGCGAGTTGTTTTAGATGAAGAGCTGCAAGCAATAAGCTGCACACCTTAATTTCTTAGCGAGGAGACAACTACTTTCACCTTTGCTGTTCTCAGAATCCTGCCAAGTGCAGCATAAAATAAGATCTTGCTTTTAGAAGGATGGAAAAAGGAAAATTACTGCCTGACTTATTTATTAAAATGACAATAGTTTGTTTTGCTCCCCTTAGAATTCTGTGAGCTGTGGAATTAAACTATCACCACCAGTAACTACAGTTGTCGCTGATGAACAATAAGGCTGTATTCAGACCAAATCAGGCGTTGCTGTGATTGGCAGCAAGGTTGTTCGGTGGTGTGTGGGCATGGTTATGTGCGCTTTGGAATATAAACCCTGTAAAACAATTAGAAATAATGTTTTATTACTCTGATTCAACTACTTTCTTCTCACTCACTTGCTTGACCACCATGCTCTCTCTCTCTCTCTCTCTCTCTCGTCTTGGTAACCCTATTTTATTCTCTAGTCTAAATCGCCCCTAAAGGTGCTACTGCACAGTAAAGTTGATTAATATTTTCTGGAAATCAGGACTCGGTTGAGTGATAAAGTATCACTTAAATTCAAAAATATCTTCAAGAGAATCACTGGATTCATTCAACAGAAAGCTTACTCTTTGTCAGAGTGCAATTAAAAAGGAGCCTCTCAATGCAATTCTAGCACTTGCACATTGTGTTTATATGTTGTGTTATAATTGCTGTCAGCTTACTCTGTTGGCTTTTTGTTTCATTAAGCTCAAATGGCAGCACAGTTTTACATTTGTGAAAAATATGCTAGCTGCAATTTTGAGATGGGACACACTGTCACACCAGCCTCTGCCAGAGCAATAAATTCAGCTCATTAACAGGAACATTCCCAATAATTTTAATCAGAGATGCTGTAAAAAAATGCGGTCTGTGTCATTGGTCATACCGTTGTGACTGCGTCATTAACATTGACAATTAGACATTAACTATGATGAGTTCACCTACCCTTGACAGAATAACTTACTGTCCTCTTGATCACTGTCATCTACAGTAGATGCAAAATACAGCTCTGAGCATTTTTTCACATCATGCATACTTACTTATGTGGACATTATTAATCATTCCAGTCACATAACCAGTGGTTGAGAGAGTCTAACACTTCAGCTTGGCTCGTGCTTGTCTTATTTGCTGTTGAGGATTTATCTCTGTAATATTAAAACATATCTTATGTCAACCTTCTGGGCAAATGATGGGCCTCTAAAATTAAATTCATGGAGGTCAAGCTTCTTAAAGCTCTGTCAAGGACACTGCAGAGAGGTGTCCTCTCTGAGGTCAGTGGTAAAAGAGTTTCCTTTGCAGACCCATAATTAAGGGTGAAAATGTGTTCTCAGTGCAAAAGTGCAGGCCAGTACTACAAACATGATAATGGGACAAACACTTAAAGTGAGGAGGAAACTCTGTTTAGTTGGAGTGAGGTTAAAGGGGAAAGTTAATTGGTTAGACCCAGAAGGTTAGTGCTGCATAAATGAAATAAATGCATTGCCAAATTCCTTGAGAAGTGCACCAGTCAGAGGCCAAGAGGAAAGTGGATTGTGGTTGGGCAGCTTGTTTTCTTTTACATGTTGTTCAACTTGGTATACCTTTTTATGCTGTGCAATAGCTATGTTTGTCTACCATTTTTATCTTAGTTCCTGTGTCTATGGTAGCTGAAAAGTTCCATTACACACACAAATTGTTCACTTCACTAAATTGTTCTCCACTAAAGAAATTGCTTTGGCAGTGTAGATAATACAGAACTTTGGCTTAATGAGCTGAGGGTGTTAATATCAGAATCAGAGTCTGAATTGGCCAGGTATGTGCACACATACAAGGAATTTGACTCCGGTTTTATATTGCTCTAAATGTACAAACACAGACTAAATAAACTGAACTTAGACATAAACTATTATGTACATATTATTTTATAATATATATCTATAATATATACAATAGTGCAATGGTGCATAATATAGACAATATGGCCCAATTATACTTGATATGACAGGGATTTATCCCATGCAGCTCTAACCAAGTGACACAGACAGGTGGATTGGAAGACTGTAGTTTACGAGAAGCGAGAAGAGCTAAGTGACTAATATCACTTATGTAAAATGAAAATTTTCCTTACCCGGACAGAAATATCTTTTAAATTACATTGTAAAGAAATGAGCAACGTCAAATAATCTTGTCTTCCCTGCTTGAAGTGGATTTAGTACCATAATGATTCTTATAAGAAAACGGTAAGACTCAATGTAGTCCCTAAAAGCATCAAAAGGCAGAGACAATTTTAGTCCTATTTTAAATCTATTGTTTAGAATCATTATATATTTAAGATACCTTTGGAAAATGGAACCTGGGCCACATATCAAAGAAGAGGACATGTGTCCTAGAAACTTAACAAAAGGGAAGCTCACAGTTACATCTCACAAACTAGTCCAGGTACAATCATACTGTGATCAGTTCCTCGTACCATGTTGTTGATGTGTGACACACGGGACAAAGAGGACAGCGGGCTGGTCTTTATAAGAGGAAAGTTATTTTCCAAGACGTCTGACTGAGAGCGCTAACAGTAGGTGCAGTAAAGATATGATGTGTGGGGGGTCAACATTCAGCAGCACACACAATCATTTTCAGAAAATTCACATTTCTTTTCTTGAAGCCTGAGTGATGGGGGCGAAAGCATACCACTAATGGCCAATCTGTGAGCCTGAGGGCTGTCTCGACTGGAGATTTTAACCAAATCTGCGTAGGAGTGGGAAAAAGAGCAAATAAAGGAGCAGAATAGAAACGCAACACACTAGTGCCTGGTTGTCAAGTATAACTGCCTATAGTTTATATACCAAAGTGCCTTGATTCACATTTACATTAATGGTAAAACACACCTGAGTATCTACTGAGCTGGAAAACTACAGTAGAACTTGTGTCTGCTCAGCTAAACCCCACAGCTGTTCAACTACTCTTCTCCTGGTGTCCACAAGCCTGCATATTGAAATTTTGCTTTGTAGCAACATTCCTCACTTCCCTGTCAGCATGTATTGCCCTAGTTTCTGGTAAGCACCATCTTCTTATACCTGGACTCTCAGGAAATGTTAGCTCATGCAGAAATGTTCCAGTTACAGTCCATACCTTCATTTTCCAATCTTTCACAAAGCATGACCAGTAACATAACAAGGTTTAAATTTTTCATCTACATGCATATTGTATCAGATATTAAATTATGCAACAATTTTAAGTAAATATTAAGAGGTTGTAACACCTGTAGGACACCCGACCAGTTATCTATTTACACCTATTCACTTAATTAACCTGGGCAGATATGATAGCTATATAATCTATATATAATCTGACACATTCTCACTCACAGCTGGTCAAATATGGACACTTTGGCCAAATGGCCGTATTGGACAAGTTGGGAGTGGGCTGGATAATCATAAAAACCAAGTCAAAGCCATGCCAAATGTTGCCAAGAAAGATTAGCGATAAATTGCAATGTCACTGCTCAAACCAGCTTTGGAGGTGGCTATCAACATAGGACACATTCTGGCCTGATGTTGAAAAGGTATAAAGGCATCCATCTTACTTGTTCATGCAAGTAATTCATGCTGGTTACTGAAACTAATACAGTGCCGTGTCTTCTTGTAGTACTTCTAGGGAATTTTGAGACAGCTTTTAGGACACCCATTTGCATTTACCATAGGAAAATCAAGA